AGGATCTGCTCTAAGGAAGGAGAGCAACAGCACCGAGTTGAAGACGCATAAATTTGTGTGTAAAATTCAAGCTTCAGAAGTTCTGCTTCAGCAGATTGTTTTGCGACAGCCCTAGTTATCTCAAGCACACTCTCCCTTACAAGATAAAAAAATTAGATCATGAGATGACCCCCCCCCCCACAGAGATATGGAAATTTTTTGGCTCGAAGGGGGGGTATAGTTGGCAACTCAAACCTGCTTCTCCTTACCAGCTTACATCGGAAGCTTACCTGAGTACCTAATACCTGACTTACCTTCTCCCTTTACCTTTATAGAACTTATTTCCAGCAGCTCTCTCTTTTGATCATCAAACTCCGATATCTTACCTTTCCTATTCTGATTATCTTCCTGCCTTTATTCAGAATATACAAATTCGATTGTGTACAACAATTCCATTTATTGTTTATCCTTATACACACAATACGATGGCAAATTATTCAATTTATATCCATATTATAACCACAAAATTTCTTTTTCAGAGTCTCGTCCAACAAGCCCACGTGTAGGCTCCACTCCGGCCATTCGTTTCACGGCCATGCGCCCTCCCATATCGACTCAATACTGCTCGTCCCATGGAATGCCTAAAATTGGATTTTTCAGCTCCGATATCTCAACTTTAATCTAACTAACTCACCTTAGCACCTGCTTCGTCCCAGTGAGGGGGGTATGGTAAATGATATTCATCAAAAAAGTACTCGGAAACATTAAACTATGTTAAAATATATACAACTAAATTTAGAAAATTTAAAAGCAAAAAAATTGGAAAATTGTTAAAATTAAAATTTGGAAAAATTAGAGTTGAAAAATTGAAACTTTATTTTTTTCAATCCCCCCCCCGGTCGACGTCGGCAATTTTTGGACCCCCTTCACTTGGAGGGTACCCATCTCAGGCCTTCGCACCTATGGTCGGGATTACACATTGCGAGGACCATTTTCGGCCCCGCACTCCACGGGCGAGGAACTGAACCCAACTCAAAAGTTGCCGAACCTCCAATAACGTATGGATTAACGCTCGTAAACGAAAAATCTGAGGCGGTCATCTTACAAGACATGTTTGAACTTGACGGTTTAGGCATATTTGCTGATGACGCAAAACAAGATGAAGTTACCTACAGTTACTTCAGAGAGTGTTTAAAATTGATATCTTACGATAACGGCTACGCCATAGCCCCGTTCCCTCTGCGAGACAGCATCGCTGACCTCGCGGATAACTACCCCATCGCTCAGCGTCGGCTTGTTTCTTTATGGCACCAGCTGCGCAAACATAACGAACAAAATAACTGGTACTGCAAAATTGTGGCAGATTACCTCAAAAACGATATTATCGAAGAAGTACCATAATTATCAGAGAAAAATTGTGGTGTTTACTATATGCCACCTTCAGGAGTATGGAAACCCCAAAAAACCAAACCGTTGCGAATTGTATTTGATGCATCATCGAAGCAAAAGGACAAATCTCACTTAACGAGGTTATTGCGACGGGAAAGTCGTTTACAAACAAAATTCACGACATTTTAATAGCTAGTCGCTCCCAAAAATTATCGCTTTGTGCGATATTGAAGCAGCCTTTACGCACATCAGACTACCAAATGCCCACAAAGATCTATGTAGGTTTTGTGGCTCAAAAATACCACTGAACCACCCGTAAAAACCAACATCATACAGTACAAATTCAAAAGATTGCCTTTTGGCATCACCGCATCACCTAGCATATTAAATATGGTGCTTATGAAGTTCCTCGACGCAAAAGACACAGATTTATCAAAAGAAATTGCAAAAAATCTGTGCGTCGACAACATTATGCTTCAAGCTGAAACTGTAGAAGAAGCAATTTCAAAATGCAAACTTGCCAAAGAAATGTTTGCAGAAATTGGGCTAAATCTGCGAGAATTCATCTCTAATTCCGCAGAAGTCAACAATGCCATACCCGAAAAAGATAAGGAAGCGGGTAAAATGATCAAATTTCTTGGTGTGGAATTTGATATTGAAACAGATCAATTTTCTGTCAATACGAAATTTTCATCGTTAGAAAAATTACGCAAAAGGGGCATAGTAAGCCAGCTAAATTCAGTCTATGATCCTATTGGATTAGCAGCTCCGCTGCTAATCAAACTTAAGTCTCTAATGCGAGAGATTTACACTCTAAATATTGACCGGAAAGATACGGTGCCAAAAGAATTGCGCAAAAAATGGCAAGCAGCATGCCAAGAAGTGAACAGTGCATCGATTACCGTTCCGCGATGCATAATAATGCACCGTGCATTAGCCAGTGACACCAAATTATGGATTTTCGCGGATGCTAGCAAGATGGCCATGGCAGTGTGCGCCTTTCTAAGGTGCGAACGTTCGTATAAGGTCACGGGATTGATTAGCGGCAAGACGAGATTAACTCCCAAGAAAGCTATTCAGACTGTCCCACGGCTAAAGCTAATCGCAATCGTTTTAGCCTTACGTTTGGCAACCACAATATCAAACAATGCCAAAAATATATTCGAGAAAATCAATGTAATTAGTGATAGCGAAAGCGCGTTAGCATGGATAAATTCTTCTCGAAAAGTTCCCATATTTGTTGCGAATCAAGTTGATCGGATCAAAAAGTTGAAACAAAACTTAGCTACAAATGGATTATCTGTGAAATTTGAATATGTTCCCTCGCAATATAATCCAACAGATGCCGGTACATGCGGTCTGTCCGCGTCCACCATTTACAACCACAGCTGGGTCAAAGGTCCGACATGGCTGGCGAGCAATAATCCATCACAGCTACGTTGGATAACAACATCTTGGTTGGCGAACACTCAAAAAATATTTGACCCTCAGGACGACGAGAGCACACCCGTCCATCACAACAACGTCGCGATTGTGACCTCGACCATAAACTTTACAACAGTCCAACTGGCGAGGCATTCAAATCTGGCAAAAGCTCTGCGAGCTTTTGCCATCGCAGCTAAGCTGCTCAATAAATGGGTGCATAAATGCAATACAAACAGAGGCACCAAGATACGTTTAATAACCACAAGTGGTTACGAACAATGTCCCGAAATTACAGCCAAAGATCTTGATTTGAGCCAGAAGCAGATAATTTCAGAAATGCATAAAGACATTAACATTGAAAACCTAGCAAAAAGGTTTCAGAATCAAAAATTCTTCAAAGATAATGATGGAATTATTCGTTTTGAATCAAGGATTCAAAACGCAAATTTGAGTTACGATACCAAAAACCCCATTTACATTCCAAAAGACTCGGATTTTGCCCGGTTATTGATACATCAATTTCATATTGATAATGCTCATGCAGGAAAAGATCATACTTTGTCGCTCATTCGACAAAAATATTGGATCCCACAACCTTCTCGTACTAAAGAAAGTTATTGGAAGATGCACTATTTGCAAAAGATTCCAAGATTTGCCTTATGGCGCACCTGCAATGCCACCCCTACCTCAAGATCGTGTGGTGATAACAAAGGCATTTCAAAATGTTGGAGTTGACTTTATGGGTCCTTTCAACTCAATGAACGCAAAAATGTACATTTCCTTGTACACCTGTCTAATTACGAGAGCTATTCCTCTTGAAGTTACCGAAATTTTGTCCACAGGGGCGTTTTTGAACAGTTTTCTGCGCTTTATCGCACGGAGAGGCGTCCACACTTAATTCGAAATGATTGCGGAACTAATTTTAAATTGGGTCAACTTATTATGGACAGTCTTTTCAAGGAAAATGACTCAAACGGCGCGTCAGTAGTGACCTACTCAGCAAAAAATAACATTAAATGGATTTTCAACCCACCAGCATCCCCATGGATGGGGGGAGTTTGGGAACGGCTGGTTGGATCCGTCAAAAGAAGCTTTCAAAAAGCGTTGGTCGTAAAAAACTTTCATTTGAAGAAATGACCACAATTGCGATCCAGATCGAAGTTAGTATTAATACTAGACCTATTACAAAATTCAGTGGAACTGATATCGATGAAATTCCGCTTCGACCGGTCGATTTCCTACAAGGAAATTTAAAATTTTCTCTTCCCACCGGTTTACGCCTACAGGCAGACGATGAAGAATATGACCCAGAGTTTCAAACGGTAGCGTAAGCAAAAGAAGCGTACGAATTTTCTGAGGTTATTTCCAATAAATTTTGGGACACCTGGCACATGCAATATCTAACTTTGCTACGAAATACTCAAAAAAGACTTCTCAAACAACCGAGACACAAGAATGAGTACCCAAAAGCTGGAGAAATTGTATTACTGGAGCAAGACCTCATTCCTCGCGGATGCTGGTCATATGGAAAAGTCATAGAAATTATTCCGAGCAGACAATGAAATAAGTACGGTGAAACTATTAATGCCAAATAAAAGAATACTACAGAGACCAGTGAATAGGGTTTATCCTCTAGAAATATATAGCACAGAGAATAACGACCGCGAATCACTCGCAGTAAGTGATCCATGCACGCCGAATGAGACGCGAGGTCAATCTCAATTGTTCGGCCATTTACTACGTATTGTGGCCGATTCGACCTATACATTAATCATCCCGCATAAAGCGGATAGGTTCGGGGGTCAACGGGGCTCTTCTGTTATAAGCTTCTTAAGTGTCACAATAAACGTTGATAGCTAAATACGTGTTGTGTTTGCTCCCGGAGTCAAAGTTGCCCTATAGTGACATACCCTCGGTCTCCCGCTATTTGCAGATTTTTGAATCGAGTTAACAATTCTTTATATATACTAGTGAACCAGCAATCTAAAGGTGCTATTTGGAAGAGCGTTCGCTTCGGGACCCGCCCTCGGTTTCCCGCTATGTGCACATTTTTGAATTGGCGTTGTGATTCTTTATATATTAATAATAATATAAAGAATTTTCTTTATATATATCTAATATATTAGATTAGATAGAGATAGAGATAGATTAGATTCTTTATATATTAGATTAGAGTAGATATTAGATTAGATCTTGCTTGGGTTTGTATGGGTATGTATGTACCTACTATGCGGCCTATTCCGTAGACGTCAGCTTACAAGTACCTTCCGCAGCCGACGTTGTTTATTATTTTGAGGCGAAAGAAGCATTCGAAATTGTCCGATCAGTATTTCTTACTCCTTTGGTTTGCCTGACTACTAATTAGATGTCAATATACGTCTTTTGTTTGCAGATGGACGAGCCAAGTACATCGAGCTTTGCATCATTGGACAGTTGTTGTGAGGATCTTGCATATCAAGGCACTTCCACTCGCTTTGCTTCATTGCTATCCCTTCCATGTCGATTCAAGGTTGATTCATGTTTCAAGCGCACCCACAATGCTGATGGTGCAGAATGTTATCAGAAACTCCAGTTTTCTTTTTGAGGAGCAGAAGCCGGATTCGGATCAAGCCGATTCTATCTTGAAATCAATACCAGAAGGACTGCTGGAGGAGTTACTTTTGGCCGATGATGAGCAACTATCTGAGTTAGTTCAGTCCATAGTTATCAGCTTCCTAGCTGCGATGGTACTGCGGAACTAAACTATGACGTCGACGGACCACAGTCTTTTTGGAATTCCCTTTGCGGCGAAATTTTCAGTCTTTCGACTGAAGGTTTTGCGGCGTTCTTTTTGTAGCCTTTTAGACAGTCACTTCGTGGCATGCCCATACAAAAATTACTCAGAAACAACGTTCAATAGTCTTTACTTGGGCAGACGCTACGTTTAACCAAACTTACCTCTAGAAATCACCCTCTAGAAATAGGAGGTTCATAAGCGTCAAAATTAAAATCTGCAGCTGATTCATTGTCGTATTATAGGTTTCGACATCTTGCCATTGATGTCCTCGAGACGTTGTTGCCATCATGTAATGCAACCACCCTCGAGGAGTTTTCTCAGCTCATCCCCGCTCTTGTTCATCGACTCAAAATTGCGAATAACGATATCGACGAACTGAACAGTATTTCGAAATGTATAATCTCGTTGTGCTTTGTAGGTTGAGAATTCGATGCGCTCGTTCAAGCGGCTAATCGTCATTTTATAGGATGGTGACTCTGCCAGCACAGAATTTGTGCAAGAGACGGCTGATGTATTGAGTTCTTATTGTGTAAGAAATCCCAAGAAATTTCCGTTTGACGATCTCCTACAGCGACTGACTGAATGTATGCTGACTTTGCAGCACCACGGTGAAAATTACGGTATGTGTACTATCCATAAGTGTGAATAACTACCGTTTTGACTATCTCCTTTTTTGTTGAGTTGTTTACATAAGATTTTGATAGGAGCAACGCAAAGTACAGTAGTCCGTAAGCTTCGTAAAAAGTGCTTATACATTTCTTTGTCCTTATAAGTTAATGGTTTGAACTTGCTCTATTGATCGTAAGATGCCTTCTCTTTCTTGAAAAAGCAGGTTAACTGGCAGTCTCGGATATCAGGTCGTTCTAGCCTGTTGCTGTTATCTCTCGGACATCGACTTGGTTACTTTGCTGCAACAACTCTCTCCGTTGCGCGAGCTTTACTTTTACTACTGGTATTTTTTAGAGCTCGTGTCTAAGAGTTATTCATGGCCGAAAGATATCCGAACCTTGGTCAAAGCTTTTCTGAAAACGAGGACAGAAATGCTCACAGACAACATGAGAATACAGGTGTTTAAGCTGGCAAAAGAAGTTTTAGAGGTATGTGACATAAAGATGCTACTCAGTTTGAGTGCTTAGGTGAAAAGTGTTTTAGACACTTGGAACGGACTGGTTTGCTCCGGACGTTAGTCTACTCGTGTTGCTTGTCCACCTCGTTGTTGTGCAGATGCGAATGTGTTTGGACAAGCCGGAGACTATCAGTACAGAAAGCTTGGCTGTTTGCTACTTCATATTGGAGGTTAGTTCTTCGCCTTCATACACCATTTCTCTTGGTGGTGTATACATCCATAATTACCATCTTTTATTAAACTCTTCCTTGCACACCGCTTTAGTCAGCTATACGATGTGCCGAAGAATCCTCCTTTGTCGAAGATGTTGCTGCTACACAAATAGCCAATTCAATACATGAAGCGGCATTGTATTCCATACAGTATTTGGTTGAGGCTAAGGAGCAAAAGGAGGAGTTATCTGCTGATGTAAGTACCTTACAGTTTTTAACTTAGGGTGTTACCTTATTGTTTTTGATATAATTACTAATTCATGCTTCTTTTCTTCGTGAGAATATCTGCTTTGGCTTTCCTTTATTTTACTTTTCTAGTATATACTGAGTTATCCAGGGGTTTACTGTAACTTGACCGTGGTTCGGCGCGCGCGGGTGAGTACAGGTGGGTTGTGGCGCGTACAGGGGCAGATTGATAGGACTATAATTTGTGGTCATCTAGAGGAGTTTGACGCGCTTGAAACCCTTCTCAGGGATTCGCGCCGTGCGGGCGGTCCTCCTACAAGGGCTAGCGTACAAGCAGTCGACATGAGCCTAAAGCTTCCGTGCGTGCGGCAAACAACCGAAGCGCCGTCCAAGCGGCAGAGAATGTTACCATGCAAACGACCGGCAATACATTTGCTCGAGCGAGCGGCCTGCATTGTGTTCGTCTTATCGGCCGGCAATACCCGTGCCGTGCAAGCGACTTCTATCTTCCACTCACAATTTTCACACATTGTGAGCGTAAACGGTACCTGCGTGAGATACGACGCAGTGCTTAGGCTGCCTAAAACATTGATATGTCCTATTATCAACATTTACTTCACCAGCAAGGGTGGAAAGAACCTGTCTGAGGCTACATTTATCAGAGTTATGGTGTGGGTTTCTCTATGAAAAATTTGGACAGTGCTGTAGGCATCATCCATGTTCCCAGAATGCAACAGGATTAACATATCCAAGAAAGATGGTCAAGATATCCCACTCGAAAATACCCCAACAGCAAGCGAGCGGCCGATCATTACCACCGGCCCTCGACGACCGTATAATCGCACACACCAACGAGCGTTTGTAAGGCCGTCGCTGACCGCCCGCGCGGCGCGAGTGCCTGAGTTTGAACCCGTCTGTTCCCGCCACAACCAGCCTTTACCCACCAGTACCCACCTGAAGCAACAGTAAAGCTATAGTAGACTCCGGTTTCCAAGCATAGTGCTTCGTTTCCTCCATCCATTCGCGGCTTCGCGTAGATATCGGCGTGCGAGCGCGGCTGAAGCCTCCCTACGATGTATTTACCTCTTCTTCTCTTAGGAAATACAAAATTTTCAACAGTGCAACAACATTCTGTGAAAAAAATTGTAGTATATAGAGCAGCTTTAGTCTTGTTTGTTATGACTTCTAGTCAACTGTCAGACATTTTCACCATGTTAATACTTAACAATCATCTATTCAGGTGGAAAACGTCATCTACAGATTTGTTTGCTGTATTCTTGCCATTGGCGGTGCGCAGATGCTACCGGAATCGTTGATGGAGAAGTGCTCATCACATATGCTGGAAATCTTTGAGAGATCGGTCACTGAGAAAGATTTCAAGAAAGCACGTTTGTTGTTACCTGTCCTCGATACCTTGCCGCAGCTGCCAGACAATCTAGTAACTTTGTTAGTGGACTTAGTAGTTTCACAATATCCTGGGGATGAATGGCGAGAAACTGCCGAAGATGTATGTGATTCTCTGGAGTCCTTGTGCTCGAGAGTTGATTATTATAGCAAAGAAACACTTAGGGATGCTGTTTGTAAGATCAAGAATGTTTTACCCAAGTGCAGGTTACTTGAGATGCTCAATAATATTTGACTTATGTTTTGCATGGTTGTTATTAAGAATAAATTTTTGACAACGTCGGTGAAGTTGATGTCCTCTTCGTTTTTTTGCTCGATTCATATCGCTTTCACGTCGATTAACGTCTGTCGTATAACTTGATTTGACACATGTAGGGATGGCATTCTCATCTTTTAACAGCATTCTCCAAACTTATTCTTTGTACAAGCTCGCATTTACGATTTGTTGTAATCCTGTCCAAATTTTACGTTTTCACGAGAACTGCATTGTCTGATCTGGCATTATAGGCATTCTGACTCTGATTTATTTCGATGTTCAAAGCCTTAACAAACTGCAAATCTGTTAACTTATCTTTCTGCACGTCTCAGATCATGATCCTAATATGAATGAATGGAATTTGCTCAAACTTGCTTGACTACGGCGCAGAGTACCATTAAAAGATTTTTACTCATTCCTAGCTATAGGCCGTCTGCGCTGCGCACGGAGAGCAACGCTGTTGCGTACATTGAAGGCAGTTCACGACTGAAAGAAGCGCAGGGAAAAACAGGCGGCGAGAGTGCACGAGGAAAGAGGAGTGACGCGCAATACTTACCTTGCGCAATACCTAATACCTTGCGCACTCCTCCGCGCCCTGCGCGAACGGCCTATATTCCTTTTTTTGTTCAGCATAAACTTATGAATTTATCGTTGAATGTCTTCTGCTTTTGACAAAAGTTCACGCTTATTCTTCACACCTAGAAGCACATCCCTGTAGTTTTTCGATTCAGCAGTCCTTGATTTGCAGTCACTTTTTTCCACAAGTTCCCATTTCGAAAAATTAAGCTCTTTCTAGATGGCTTTTGCTCCTAAAGTGTGCATCGCGGATCGCATGCATAGTACAGTGTGAGGTTTGCATTCGTACAAACATCTATTATATGCGAATCACGTTTTCTTAATGATCATTGTGGCTCCATCAGGTAGAATCCGGCTGTGAATAGGTTTGCATTTGGTCACTAGCCTCTCAACAGGTTCTGGTGCGCTTCATTATCGCGTTCACTATATCTGTAGATCTTGTCAGTCCTGGTGAGAAATCCACAGCTTTGTCTCAAAATATCTAGAGAAGACATCGATTTTTTTATAGCCTTGGAGTTTTGACTAGTTATTCGTTTTATGTAGAATCTTATCACACTGAGTAACGTTTTATCGAATAATTTGGGTGAAACCTTCTGAATACACCAGCCATACCATTGAATGAGTAAACTCATTTTGAGTATTTGTTGAAGAAATTTGCAAGCCATGCAAGACGGAATCACTCCTGGCATACAAGTACCATATAAAACAATATCTAGAGCTTTGGGGGTCGTTTAAAGAACAGAATATGTTTTATAGAACAGCACCCTTTTTCAGAGCCGATTTAAATCAATCACCCTTTTACATAATTGATATAGACCTTGTATTCAGAGAAATTCACATTTTCAAAGTTTTGAACTTGATTTTGAGCACAAATGTCCTTATCAAACATTGGCTGCAAAGGAAATCTAAGCACTTTAACGTTGAAAAATGCAGTTGCTGGCAAAAATTCGTATTCCGCAACTATTTGTGAATAACCACGTCGTAATAGTCGAGAGCTGAGGCGGGAAGCTAACTGAACTGCACGCAGAACAGTCTGTTGCAGAAAATTTGATCTTTGTTCTTGTTGAAGTCCTCCACTTACCATTCGAATTTTTGATCATAAGTTCAAAATTCTATTTGTAGAGTGTGCGCAAAGATTTGGTGACAGAAATTCTTATTCAAATGAACAGTTGGCGCCATTGATTTTGCTTTGCTGTGTACTCCTTGATTTCTACTGTGTAGACGTTTATACTTGGCGTTTAAATTTCGAGGATCAGAATGATATCCTGAAATTAACGGTTACTTTATAGAGCTTCTCTCCGTCTCTCTACTACCTTCAACGATGATTATTATGTCTGAAGTGAGCCAACCGTCTACAGGTGTTCGATTATCACAGCCCCAAGTTGTGGCATACCTGGACACGCATTGTGCTGGTGAAGGAACTCTTTGTGTTAGCGAAAGGTGAGCATGTTGTTATGGACAGCTATCGTGGCTGCAGTGGATTGGCAGCGTATTGACGGCATCCTGCTACTTCTCCAAATTTTGCATATCCTCTGTATCATTAGGAATGATGAGAGTTCATGCGGCTCCGGTCGCCGCGACCGCCTCTTTTGGGCTTTGTACTCTTTCGCAAGCATGTTCTCTCATTCTCTTGCGCTATTAGCGATGGAAGCTCAACTTTCCCACACTCCGTAAGGCTGTTGAAGTTTACGATACATCCGACGACCAGCTAGATGTTATTTTGAAGTAAATTTCACGCGTACAAGGCGCGGGGAAATTTTTTTCCAACTTCGATTGGCTCAAACACGCCACTTTATACCGTGCTGTATACTGCAACAGAAGCGCACGGCAAAAAGATCGTTTTCCGAAATACAGTGAAGCGGCTGAGCGGCTCCCTAGAAAAATTGAAAAATTACGCCTTCTCTTGAAATTAGGGTACTAATATGAGTTACGCTGGCGTTCGCTTCGATCCTCTCATCGATTTGAAATAACCCTCTTTTGCTTGCGCTCAGCTCGGTGAGCATAAGGCATCGGCCATAAGTTGCCGGCACTTTGCCGAGGTTGCTGGGGCGATTGCCGCACAGTGCCGTCGTGAGTTTGTGGGACCTCACGATAAAACTGTGCCGGCAACCGCCCCAGCAGCCTCGGCAACTGTTGCCGGCAGCCAATTTTTAAAGGCAGTGTCCGGGCAAAAACTCGATTTTGAGATTTTGTGCTTACCCGGGCCTATTCGCTATGCAATCCGGGCCTATTCGCTATGCTGAGACCGAACCACATTGGAGAGCGCGAAAATGACGAAAAGGGGCTCTAACACTGGAGGGAAATCAGCAAGTGGGCGTGGTCTTCCCCATTGTGAATTCACGCTTCCAGCTTCCAGAGAAATTTTCTCCATTCCGTTAGCCGCCCTGACATTACTACCGATCAAGTGCAAACGAATGACTTAGAACCGGAATCAAAAAGATCGCCCCCGAAGCTGGGAGCGTGAATTCACCATGGGGAAGACCCCGCCCCACTTGCTAATTTCCCTCCAGTATTAGAGCCCCTTTTCGTCGTTTTCGCGCTCTCCAATGTGGATTTTCGGATTCAGCATAGCGAATAGGCCCGGGTAAGCACATAACCTCAAAATCGAGTTTTTGCCCGGAAACTGCCTTTGAGGCACGCGCTATATTCGTCCGGTTTAATCGGTTGCTATTGGTCAGATCACCGCACTGACCAATAGTGAACGGGTGATCTGGATAAGTGTGGCGCCTACATTAGGCGCTTAGCCGCTTCATGGTTGGTCAGTTCACTGATTTTACCAGTCCTGAAACGGCGCGGATGAGTCTGGCGCCCGCCTAAAGTTCCGATTCCCAAAGTTTCACTGCTTAGGATTGTATCAGCCGCTTCTTGGGCCCTAAAAAAGATACTACAGAAGGAAGAGTTTGCAGTCAAGCTTGCAGTCAGTCAAGATTCTGCTGCATATCCTTTTCTGCCATTCCCTTTTTGGCTGACATTTCAAGCTTTTTTCACTTTGTTTCTGTAGATAAATTTCATTTTGCACCGTGATAACTTTTTTGGTTTTCCTCCGGCCAACACAAGTATCGGCTTCATGAATGTATGCTTCGTCAAATTGGTTCGATTCTCTGAATACCCACTCAAGAACTTTTTTTAGTCAAGTGACATGGATTTGTCGGTCCACGGGTCTAGGATTCTCGTTGACTTATCCCTCGATCATACTGCATGCTATCTCCACTGATCTCAGCACATTTCCTCAGGAATGCATATATGTTCTCGTGGACGCAAACAAAAGCGGTACGTTTCCTTTTCATTCGGAGCAATACTGTTTGGTAGTGTCTGCAAATTGCAAGAGCGCAGATTGATCAATGAAGTGAAGCATAAAGGCTAGTTATATAGGTCAAATGAACGTTTATGTACAGGCTAATTTGATTCTAAGTTTTTCTTGTTTGCTTCGCGATTTTTTGGTCAATCATCTGGAACATTCCTGATCAAAGTCAGCCCGCTTGGTTTGCTCGAAATTATCATTTCATTTACAACATGATTAATGCGATTACATTGTTTGTTCCCACAAAAGTCAAGATTGAGACTAAAACATGTGTTCTACGTCGCTCTCAGATTGATGAAGGTCTGTTTTTTTTGCAGAGCGACGTGGAAGGCATGCAATCCCTCTTTATACTTCTGCAGAGGCAAGATATGTACAAGGTATAAGTGCAGGCCTCAAATATTCGAAAATATGTTTCGACGTAAGTTGATATTGCTCAGAAGATCTTCTTTAGATCTACAATTAGCGGAAGAAGAACTCCATCAAAATGGAGACACCTCCGATGACGATGATGATGAAGAAGGGAAGAATTTGGTCATCAGATTTGTCCCCGCTGATTTAAGCGTGTGTGAGTGTTTACTGCTATTGCTCCCAATCTTGAAGCAGTGTTTCATAACATCTGACATTTTTCGTTTTATGCAAATCTTCATTTCATTTTTTTGCATAGCTGTTGACAGAAAGCAAAGCACCATCTCCTTTTACTTTGTGTGAACGCGGTGCAATGATGAAGCGTCATTCTTCTCGTTTGTTCACGGCACATGAATAGATTAGCTTTTGTGTGCGGTTCGATATCTACGCGAATTAGGCTATTGCTTAGGATCGCTTAGCTTGAGAGAACCTCTCCAATTGTGAATGGAATTTTTTTCAGTACAACAAATCTATTCGGAGATGTGTGCATGTCAAGAATTAAATCCAGATGAGGGTGATGACTTTTCAGGTGAAACTTGATAATCTTACAGTTCGGGGTCGAAATGGGTCCGATGTGCATATCTTTCAGAAGACGAGGGAGAAGCTGTTGTAGCTATGGACGGAGATGCAGATGCTATGATGAGTGGAGATGGTTGGTATACGGCAAATAACGTATGTTTTCTTCCATAGGAAATTTCTTATCACAGTTTGCTTGATTTGCAATTGATAAGTTTATCCAATCATAGTTATTGATAAGTTTATCAGTCATGTTTTGATGACGAATTAGAAGCTTGGAACAGCATATTTCACTCTGAGAGCCTTCCTTGCAGATTGGAGAAGATGATGAGATTGAACTGAGCGAGGAAGGAAGAGCGAACCTTCAGCGTATGCTTGGTCATTCTAATAACGGACATGGTGACCATGGTCGGTAGTTTCGTCGTTTTTTTCGCATTACTAGTTGGGATACGCCGCGCAGTCCCTATCAACATAACATGACCAAAACTCACTTTCCCATGTGAAACATTTTCATGTCCCTGTCCCACTTTTGTATGCCAAATTCCTACCCCGTTTTTCGTGATCAGCTGCTCATTTATCCTCCTCCTCCACCTCACCTGCAGTAATGTCCAGTCCGTACAAAATCAACAAAATCGATAAAAGTAGTGAGTATCTTCACATGTGGTTATTTCATTCGCAATCAACATGCTTAAGAGCCGGCATACATCATCCGATTATCGCCTCGGGATTCTCTCGACAAGACACTGTTAGGCCCCGGGCAGACTTCACGCGATTTGATCGTCGCGACTGAATCGCGACGAGACAACTTTTACAACATCATTCCATGCCGATAACTTGCATTCGGTTGTGATACTTTTCCAGCCCGAAATTTTTGAATGTGAAATGAAAATGAATGGAAATCTTGGCGATCAGATCGCGACGATTAAGTCGCGTGAAGTCTGTCCGGGGCCTTACGAGTCCATTGCATGCCGATCATCTTGCATTTCGGTTGCGATAGTTATTAGCGACAAGTCGAGTCGAGAGGTACCACAACGAAATGCAAGATGGTCGGCATTAAATGTACTCGTTACAGTTGTCTTGTCGCGAGGCGATGAAATCGCGTGATGTATGCCCGGCCCTTTCCTCCTGTGCCAACACCAGGGCTCGGCACGGTGGCTAGCTGGAAATGCAAAATACGAAGTCCCTCTTGACTTTCGCGAATTCTTACAAACCCTTTGACCCTAGACCATAATCCCTTAAAAAAATCCGCAACAAACGAAACGTCGACTAAAAAATCGCAAATTTTGTGTTTTTCGGCCACAAAAGCGAAACCCTCTTTGCTTTTTGTCCCAAAAACGATATCCAGCTTGCTTATAAGCCACCTGTGCCGAGCCCTGGCCAACACCCTGCTCCTATATAGGATCCTAACTTTGCAAAATATCGGTGAAATCGATAAAGTCATCTTCAATGATTATTTTATTGTAATCAGCATAGTTACTTGTTGGGTTGATGATCGATAACGAGAAGTATCCTACGATATATGCCCCTATGTGTGCAAAGTTTGGTCCTTATCGGTTTGGAAACAGAATTTTTTATTCGGAACATACTATTTATACACACACTCCAAATATAGGCAATTATACAAACATTTCCATAATATATAGGATAGCATTGTTAGTGAATTTTTAGTGCTCACACAGGTCATGATGTTATGGTTCTTTTTTATCAATAAAATTTTTAGAGGAGCACGAGGAAGATGAAATGGAAGAGCAATAATAAGCCATCCGATTGAGTAATTTTTTCCAATACCGGTGTCAGCGAGATTCCTCGGTTTATCATGATCTGCATATTCGTTTGATTTCTGAGTATTGCCTATTTTGACCCATTTTTTCACTTTAAAGTCATGCATGCTTATCACTGCAATTTTATGTACGTATTGTTTCTCTATTGAAGTTTTATAAAAGTATTTTCACAACAGAGTTTTCAGTAATCCATGCGTTAGACTAGACAGAATGTAAGAGAGCATTGTTACTGATGTGTGAGATATGTGAGACATGACTAGTTATTCCATATGTCTGGAATGTACCTAGCTTCCACCCAGTTCAGTAAAGGCAGTGTCCCGGCAAGATTTTGTTTTCCAGATTTTTACCTTTTCGGATCCTTCTCGCCATAAGGAACCCATATCTGGGCTTTCCAACACATGAAAAGAGCAAAAATGAGCTTTTCTCGAAGCTTTCCAGGTCCGCATCCATTGGAAATTACGTGTAAGTTGGGGGAGTGCGAAACGAAGGAGGCGGGACGCGCAAGACTTCCGCGTTTTCTCACTGAATGCGGACGTGAAAGTTTCACAGAAGGCTTATTTTCGCAAATTCCATGCGCTGAAAAGCCCAGATATGGTCTCCTCATGACAAGGAGGCTCCGAAAAGTAAAAAATTGATCAGCGGAATTCTGCCGAGACTCTACCTTAACTCATGAAAAAAGTAGGGTAGTTTCAGTAAGCTTCGTAGGTGCTAGTCTACTTTGCGCATCTGTGCAGTTCCAGTAATTAGGTGAGGTGTTGGTCGTCTTTGTTATTGCCGGAAGGGTTAGGAGGACAATCTTACTACTGCTGATAGTGATTTCCATCACTGCCAGAATTTTATTGAAAGTATGTAGATATTGGAACAATTGCAGCAGGTTTTTTCCTCCATCCGATAAGTAATAGAACGGCTGATCGAAATTCTCGCACAAAATACATTGTCACTATCGGATCCAACAAAGGATATAGCGAAAAACAATTGGAAGACCAGTAGGGAAGACTGTAATGAGGCTTCAAGTTATGGACGTAGAGCGTGACTCACGTACAATTGCAACTCGGAACCGGATAATGGCACGAGAAATACCATTGTGCAGGGAATGTAACATAGAATCATAGGTAGAAGAGTCTGCAAATTGGGAACGCTTCTTTTTATTGGCACGAATGTCTGTTTTGCGAGTAGATTTTGTGTTGTCACACAATTGGGCTTCCCGCCGGAAACACTCTCAAGTCCGCGATCTGCGAAATCCATGCGTTACCTTCTCTTAAGGACGAGAAAAATATATTTGACGGCCACATCGGAAACCCTAGGATTCCTTGGCTCTTGTGTCGCCTCGCCCACCGTAAAGTTTTACCTAAAAGGCTAGGTGGGGGGACCCACCAGGCAAACGCTTTCCCACAGTCTGCTCGCTTCGGGAGAAAAAGCGTCGTTCATCACCGCCTCGGAACTAGCCTCCCTGGAAATAAACGCTGCGCATTTTTTGCTATTTTGACTGGCGAAAAAATCTAACGTACAAACGCCCCAAATTTCTTGTAATTGCGCGCTTACTTCCTCTCTGATGCTCCGGTCGTCCAGATCTAGCATACGAGATGTCAAGTCCGCCTCCGAATTGAATTCTCGCGCGATCCAGGAAAAGTCCATGTTAAGCTGAATTCGCGCCCCAAAATCCCAAATGCACTCCGCCATCCTCTGCAAATGCGGTTTTGTAGACCCCTTATTCAGTATGCCTACCACCGGCTGATTATCGCAGTGCCACACCACTTGCTCCAGTCTGAAGTGCTCGGCGAAACTTCTCAAGCCGAACAAGATGGCAAAGAGCTCCCGGGCAGTACTGGATGAACCTACTAGCTCTGGAGGCAGGTTCGCTGATGCGCATAACTTTTCCGTCCAAGACAAGTACAAAATCGCCCCTACTCCAGAATCTGACGCGTCCGAAAAGGCCCTTAGCGCATTTGAAACTCCCGCGATTGCCGAGATAGGCGCACCCCCGAAGGATGCGTCAAATTCCAGCCAAGCCTGGATTTCCGCTTTTTCCTGCGAAGTAAGAGCCCATTTGAAGCTCATCGCTGTGCCCAAACTCTCTTTCTCCGCTACCTGGGACACTACGGCTTTCCATCGCTTTCTTAGGTCTAGAGGGATTACCAGGTGCATCGATGCCAAAGTGCCCTGCCACCGCAGTCTGTCCCAAAGGGGTGGACCCTTCATCCTCAATATTCTTTTGGCTAAAAGCCTAGCTCTCTCCCTTCTCTCTCTCGTGACATTCAGAGTCATTTCCGCCAAATCTATCTCGTGACCTAACCAGATCATCCTCTGGATCGGGATCCAGGAACATTTAGCCTCGGCTGTCGAGAAGCCGGCATGCCGCAAGTCAGCTCTGACCACACTCACTGCTTCCTCGCACTCGCGTGCGGAATCAGACCACAAGAGGCCATCGTCCAGATACACCGCTATGTTTATGCCAGCGGATCTCCACTTGCTCAATAAAGGTCTCAATAGTTTGGTGAACACCATGGGAGCAGAGGATAGCCCGAAGGGGAGTACCGCAAACTTATACGCCGTGTCCCTCCAAGTGAAACCAAAATGTTTATGAAAGCTAGGGTTAATCCTGACGTGGTGGTAGCCAGACCTAAGATCAAAAGCGGCCATGTACCCCCTCTGGTAACAACGGAACAATTTTGGAGACGTCCTCAAACTTGACTCTGCTCTTCTCGACATCTTTATTGAGTTCCGACAAGTCTAGGATAAGCCGTAATTTCTTCCCCTCCGCCACTGACAGTGGATTAATCCTAAGACTCTCCCCTCTAGATGCCCTAACTACAGCTCCGCTTTTTAGCAAACTTGCTATTTCCCCGTCAACGAAATCACCATGCCTATTTGCAGACCTGCAATTGCCTCTTACGACTGCCAACGCTGGCTCTGACATGAATACTGGCGCATAACCGTCGCGGATCACATTTTCCAAAAACGGGGAAGGTCTCATACTCGTCCAGAAATCAGCACACCGGTGTATGCCTCCGGCCAAAAACTCACCTTCATAGCTTGCGTTCTTCCCTGCACTCGCGAGAGTAGTGCCCATATCTTCCGCAGTTGTAACCAGGGTCAAGCAAGGGGTGTGGCTCACGATCGCTGCTTACGACCCCCCCCCCCCTCTGATTGCTGTCTGAATAAGACCCCCCCTGAACTATACACTGAAGATAGCATTACTTGAAGGCCCTGTCAAACATAATGGGCAACATATCCATAATTAGCATGTCAAATAACCCCTGTAGACAAAGTGTGAGCGAATTCTGAAGATTCAAGATACTAAGCTACCTAAGTGAAATGGTCAAATTCCAACATGGTTAACTTTGTTTCAAAGGTGAATTAGCTATCCGTTTTTGCACTCAAGACAAAGCACTACCCCTTCTTTGTCCACCTCAGAAATCCCGCTTCAAAAGACCTCCAAACTGTGAAATTAGAAGCCAACCAAAATCTCATTTTTCCCATTTTTCGCTTTTAATGGCTGTGCTTTCACCAAATATCACTCAGAGCAAAGAAAACGAATCAGGTTCAAATCGCTCCTGTGAAAACTAGGAGATCTAGGCTATCGATTCATATAAATAACGTTCGCTAAAAATGTTTTTTGATATAGTTAACGGGGTGCGGCACACCCCCTTAAAAGCTGCGGCGGCCGCAGCTTTTAAGGAGGTGTGCCGCACCCCATTAACTTTATCAAAAAAACATTTTTAGCGGACAGTACTTATATGAAATGATAGCCTAAATATTGTAGATTCCATAGAACTGTTTGGAGCCTGATTCGTCTTTTTAGCTCTGAGTAATATTTGGTGAAAGCAGAACGATCAAAAGCGAAAAATGGGAAAGATTTTGGTTGGCTTCTAATTCCACAGTTTGGAGGTCTTCTGAAGCGGGATTCCTGAGATGGACAAAGAAGGAGTAGTGCTTTCTTGAGTGCAAAAACGGATAGCTAATTCGCCTTTGAAACAAAGTTGACCATGTTGGAATTCAACCATTTCACTTAGGTAGCCTAGTATCTTGAATCTTCAGAATTCGCTCACACTTTGTCTAAAGGGGTTAATTGACATGCTAATTTTATGGATATGATACGAATATCATGTTATCACTATTATCAGATTACCCAACTACGACCCCCTCCCCTTTTGACTCCTCAATACGACCCCCCCCCCGGTGCGGCGTGCCGCACCCCCCGCTTTACCCTGGTTGTACACATCTCTTTAGGGCGGCCTTGCTGACGGGCAGGCGGCGAACGGGTGCGGAAACGTCCTTCACTGTACGAGGGCCTCTGGAAAGCAAGAGGGACGGGAGCCCGCGCCGCCCCTCCGTACCGAAAGGGCCGGGGATACGGCAGGAAACGAGCTTTCCATACCGACCGAGGCTGCGCTGGCTGTTTTCTCTCCTCCTTTTTCTTCTTGTCCCTGAAGAAGGCGGCTAGTATTGGGCTAGACACTTGCATCGAATCAGCCTTCGACTGCTGCTCGAAGAACTTGAATACGTCTGGATCTGAATCGGCAACGACTAGCAATTCGTTGCGCTGGGTCAGCAGAGTGATTGCCCTCTGGAGATTCGTCCTAGTTTCTCCATCCTGAGGCATGAACTCCATCAATGGGGTCAATGCTGCCAGCACACTGGAATTGAAATCGAACTGTTCAGCCAGTCCTGTTCCGGTGAATTCGTGGAAGAACTAGGCCCCGGCGGAGCAGATACTTGAAGAATCGGATATTGCGCGGATTCCTGCTGCTTCGGGGATTCTTGAGTGGTCGAATTGTGCCTAGCCGCAGCAACTTGAGCGACCAAAAGGTCGAAATACTCCTTTGACATTTGTACCACGTCGTCTTCGGGTTCGGGAGTCGTCAGTGACTTATCACCCATAGTTCAGAGAATTTTCAGAGAGTATGCAATCGAACCGTTTTCCAAGTTGACGAAAACCGGAATGTTGAAATAGCAGCCAAGCACACCACAACACTCGCGCCCCGCCCCCCATGTGCTTGGCTGCTCGCCAAACCGTTGCGAAAGGCAAAACATAGATTTTGCCATAGTATATCGGAGGCAAAAGCCACACTTCCAGCCATTTATGCGCCTATCTCGCTTCAAAGGCGGTAATGCGTTGCACCAAACATAGTGCAGACTTGTCGCCAATCGTTTAAATCGCGCGCGGTCATCTAATATAACTATGCATCTCCAAACATTGCAGCGCACAAGCAATCTGCGGATAGAGCTTGTGCGAGACATAATGTCCTCTAGCAGTTTTGCACCTAGGACCTTGGACACTTCCTTATGTGCTCTTGGGCTGCTGTACTGATAGCTCTTGGAAAAAGTTTAGGCCAAACTTCGACAGTATCAAACGTGTGAAGCCCTGCCGCCTATATTCTTGGGAGGAGATGGTAAGTACAATGCGGTTAACGAGGCCAGCGCCGCTAGTGCAGTCACACATCTAGGAGTCATGCAGTCACATCGCGCGAGCGTCGGCGCAGCGCGCAGGGACCATGCTGCGCGCAATATCGCAGGCCTTGTTTTCATCGTTGTATCTCGTAATTTTTCCGTGTTTGCAACAGCGGATTGTCGTTTTTCTTGCTTTTATGCTCATATGCGATCTGTCTTGATATCGGATATTTTCTCGAGCAAAGACAGGAGGTGTCAGTTTCTTGAGCGCTTTTCTTCATGACATTTTTCACTTCATCCAGGCCTTCTTCAGAAGGCTGATTTTGGATGTCATGATTCTTTATATCGACTCGTGTTGCAACGGACGTAATCGTATATCGTTTAGGTTTGACTGAACAGCGCCAACGTGCTGTTCACTCAAACTGTTCTCTCAACCTACACGATACAGATTACACTTTACGATATAACCTTTAGCTGGAAGGAGGAAGAGCACAAGTCGTTCTCAGAATCTTAAATGAAATGATTAAATTACATTTTCTTTGAAAGACCTCAAACCTCCATTTTGTCTTCCATTCGTGCGGTACAGTTTGAGAAATCTCAGAAAGAGCACCGAAGTAGAATCTTAGACACGAAAAGCTCAGAAATTTGGAAGCAGGACAGCGAATAAGCTAAGAAAGAAGGAGGAAGAGTAGCTAGATCAAGGACCACGCGGGTTTGCGCGGCAGGGTTCCTGCACGCTGCAGCCCACGGTAGCGCTTGCGCGCAGGTGTGTGACTGCACTCCGCGGCGCTGGCCCCGTCAAACGCATTGTAAGTTATTCACAGATTTTTTTGGAAAATCAAAACAATTTTCTCACGAAATCGATCGAAACATTTTTGAGGTTTGGCGCATGTGTGTGTTGCAACCGCACTTATTTCTTACTATCCACTGGAATTAACAGAGTTATACCAATCAGAACGGGCCGAAATGTCGATCACCTACAATCTGCTCCAATCGGGATCAGGCCAAACCGTCGGCGTAAATTTGCGCGGTGGCAGCACTAAGCTATTGCGCAGCATACAGTCTTTTTCAACCGGTGTAGGTTAAACATTCCAAGTGGAGCAGCGCGTCCGCACCGCCACTGGCTCAGCGAGAAAGATTAGAATGAAGAGACGCAAATTGCAAAGCGGCACGAATTGTTGCGAAGCGAACTCCTGCCAGTCCAATTTCCGCGTAAACTGAGTTGCTTACTATATACGCGCTGTCGAAGAAAGCAAAGGGACTGATGAGGGAGCGGAGAAGCAGGCCGTGGGCGTGACCGCGAAACCTTAGCGGGGTTCTCGCCATGCCAATTTTGGGCTTATAGCAAATCGTAGACGTGGTGCAACACCATAGCGAACGTGCAGCGTGTCAGTTTTGGCTTGATCCAGATTGGTAGACTGTGCCCTTGTCTTGCAGGAGTGAGCCCGACTCGAATGGCTTTGATCTTTCGCTACGCTACAGTCGCTTGGGCTCTGCACCGCCTTTCGCGTTCGTGCTCTATGGTTAATTTCCACGCGAGATTCGAGGCGCTGAAGGCTCACTCCAAAAGATACAAAAGGGTATGTGCATTGTGTGCTTGTTTCAGCCGTGCAAAGTGCCTGACTGATCACATGTTTTTTCCGCTCCATTTCACCTTTTTCGATGAAAATCGTGAAAATTGCTGTCCCATCTAGGGGTTGCCGCGCTTGTCGGTTGATTTCGCACTTAACGCCATTTTTTCAAGTTACCCCGGGTTGGAAACACTTAGATCAAGATTTCGAACCTCCGCTTTGTTTAGGGGGTAAGACATCACTTCCGCCCCATCCCCCCCCCCCCTCCCCAACTAATTGCCCGAGCGCAGGCGGTGCTACCATGGTTTTTTGAAAGCAATTTTACGAGATCAACAAAATCCGATAATATGTGTGAAGTTTGCCAGCTCCATCAATTATTGAGAGAAGGGGTTGGCTTCAATTTGATAAGACAAATAGCTGTTACCTGAGCTACGATAGCCTTAAACAACTGAACTTGAAGACTTCTCGTGGTTTGACTTAGCGGTACTTTTTTGAGACCGGAATATATATGAAGCCCGCACCAAAGAATTATCTACAGACATATTTTTGATTATAGGTTAAGCACGATATACTGACCGCATTACCGTAAATGTTATCAGCTGTAAGAATAGCAAGTTCGCTATTCCTGCACAATAGTCCCATCTGATTTTTGTGATGCCATTCTGAGTTACCTGAGAAACTTGGTTTTTCAAATTTTTGATGATAAAGACCATGTGAGAACTCACGAAGTAAAGCGCTCCTACACCATCAGCATCCGAGACTTCACCCCCGTATGCTTCCATAAATGGAATTCGCGCATAGTCTTCGGAGAAGGAGTCAAACCTTAGGAAGTAACAACATATGAAACCCCAATAAACCACAAGGGATGCAACGAACAGTATCCAGGTAAACGCATGCGGCCAAGAAAAGAGATAGAGAAGATGGGACCTGAAGAGATAATTTTGCACGGTCATCTGCACGTTTGCCCCTTGGAGAGACTATATAGTCTTCAAACATGGAAAAAGGAAACTTACGATTAGTTATTTCATCTAGTAATTGCTTATCTCACACAGAAAAGCAGCTATCTCATCGTGAGATAAGAGATATGCAACCCAAGGATATTAGGAGAATTACAAATTTCTCAACTCAACGGCATCTTTGAAGAAACTTTTGTAAGCTTTCGTATCTAAGTCTATGCAGTATACTATTTAGTTGGGCACGTGAGTATTTTTATAAACTCGTAACATCTTTAGCTTTTATTGAATGCTATGTTGTTTGAAGGTTCTGTCCGATTTTTAGTTACCTTGTTTTGACGCAGCCATTTTCTTGGAATTCTTCACTTATTGCAGTATTATGAACACCAACAAAAGCATCCTCATTTTTGTTAATGCTTGCTGATTTTTGATAAAACAACTTCACAATGACGAAATTGTAAGCCTTGAATTTGAGACCAAAATGCCGTCATGCTTGCGAAAGTTTCTATGAAGAGAATTTCCGCAGTTTTCATTAGGTTACCCATGTAATATTTTATATTCAGTTAGCTTGTAATGGGCTAATAACGCACACTTTCACTCTCACATAGATATCTTAATTTTCGAGTTTTTTTTTCAGAGGTTGAAGACAAATCTAGTTATTCAATTAGCGACCAATCTACGCGGCAAATGATGTATTAAATATTACATATATCGGCGTCGAGAGCGAGTAGGAATCATCAGCCAGTTAGCTTTCTTCGTTCGCCGCGAGAAAAAAAAGAAAGTCAAAAATTCGGCATACTTGCGCTCGCGCGGAGTGCTCAAATATTGGTTTTTTACTTGCTCCTAAAAATTTCTGTGCAGCAAAGACAAATTGGATTTTCTTTGACTATGAAATAATTTCTGAAGTATAGGCTACTTGATGACAGCAGCCGAATATCTCTGCCTTTCCTTATATGGGAGCAAAGTGTATCAAAGTAGACTGAGTTAAAAGCCTCGCAGAGCTCTAAAAGTTTTCTCTTCTCTCTCACTTGCCTGTTTGACATGGCATACTGCTGATAGGTATGAACTCGTTTAATCCGGCAAAATTTGATTTGTTCGAAAATGTCAAATTTGAAGAAAGTTATAACATTTCAAATCAGAAATTTGCACAAGGACGGAACTTTGGTACAAACTAGATCAAACACGATATGTTTTGAAGGGAGAAAATCATGTGCTTAGTGGTAATTAGAGCAGAAATAAGCGTACGGTATAGAAATTGAGAATTGGGAAAGGGAAGCGCCCGAACTTTATATTTGGAAGCCGCTCGTATTTTTGGTCACGCTTTCATGGCCCAACGTTTCTGATCAAATTACAGGCTGATTGGATGTCTCTACGATTACTTGAGATTATTTATACAGTGTTGTTGCCAAGAACACCTTTAAAATGTATGAAATATCATGCATATTATATTAGGGGTGGGTCCGAAAATTCGTGCCGTTTTTGGACAATTCTAAAATTATTCAAAACGAAGATAGACAAATCGCTTTAACAATATCCGATGCAGAATTTCTTCCTCTTTCCAGCCTATTTTTACGTTATTTTGCTTCGACAAGCGCTGAGATAATTGCCGAAAACTAGAACCCTTCATTTTTACCATGTCTAACTTTCGGTAATTTTCAAAACTTTCATTTCAGACTTTTGAAGGCGATCTAATAACCACCTAATAAGACAAACCTTTTGCAAATTAATGCAATTTTTTGCATCTCTCTAACATGCTTTCTGGAATTACTAAAATATTTTTTCTGAGGTAACCAAATTTTATATTTAGCTCATTCTAACCTCGCAAAACATCAGACATTGAACAGTTCAGGTATCATTTGATGCAACTCTCCTCTTTCTGACAACTACTTTGCTTCGCGAAATTTGCGACGTTTGCAGACAAAAACGCTGTACTTTCCAAATTTACGCGTGCGCAAGGTTGTAGTCG